ACAAAACACCATCAAACCCTGTGAGCAAAAGTTCCGAGCTGCTCATAAACACAGCCATCCTTCTCTGGCCTGTAAGGAGAGGCAGGACCAGGCCATTTGCTGCCTCCCAGCCTGGCTAACTTGAAATGAACCCATCACATTTGGGTTTATATACTTTTCATAGCTGAGAGCTACAGACGTGCCCTCACCCATGGTCCCAGAGCTGACCTCACACAGGTAGAGCTTCCCTGTGAATCTGAACGTGCCCTTGTCAGCCTTTGTGGCCCGGGACTGGGGGGAGGAAGGCAGGGCCTTGGGCTTGTTTGTGTTTCATAGAGCTGAAGAGCCAGGGTTTGAGGTCTTGCCCTTTATACACATTTCCAGTGCCTTTGGCATTTTAAATCATGTCATGTCTTATGTGTTTATTGATTTCATTGATCATTATCATTGTGTGTGTGTGTGTGTAGGTGGGCTATGCCCATGCATGGAGCCTGTGTGGAGGTCAGAGGATGACTTTGCAGAATTGGTTCTCTCCTTTTACTTTAATGTGGGTTTTGGGGATTCAACTTGGGTTTTTAGGCTGCTGTTGGTCTTTAGTCCTCTCTGTTGACTTTTTTGAATTTGTAAGTAGCAGACACAAAGGGTGTTTTAAATATATCATGTATTGGGACCCTTGACTCCAAGTAGGGACCTTGTGTTCCTGTCAAATGTGGCTAAGGACCATCCGATGGCAGTGAGGTAAGCTCTGGGCTACAGCAGAGTTAGGACCAATTGAGTTCTCTGGGAAAGCTCCAATCTCTGTGGTTGCCACTGCTATCAATAGCACTTTTAACAATGCAATGCCACAACATTGTCATAACCAACAGACTGGAGTCACAGCATTGTCACAACCAGCAGACAGTAGTCACAGAATGGTCATAACCAGCAGACAGGAGCCACAGAATGGTCACAACCAGCAGACAGGAGCCACAGAATGGTCACAACCAGCAGACAGGAGCCACAGAATGGTCACAACCAGCAGACAGGAGCCACAGAATGGTCACAACCAGCAGACAGGAGCCACAGCATTGTCACAACCAGCAGACAGGAGCCACAGAATGGTCACAACCAGCAGACAGAAGTAGCCCCTGATCAGCTAGACTCAAATACTACAATTCCAGGGAGCCAGGAGTCATTCCACACATGTCACCCCACACCAGGACACCCCATATCACAGTCAGTACCTCCTGCTCCCACCACACTAGTGACTGTATCCCACCCATGGGTTCTCTCGCTGTGCTGTCGCAGAGTATCCCATTACGTAATGCCACCCTAACCTTTCCCACCCTATTTTATGCTGTTTTACTTCAGATCATCTTACATCATACTGTTTCAATAAGCGTCATCATAAGCCCCACCATTTCATTCCGTACCACACAAGCCCACGTTCTACGGCTGCACACCACACCATTCCTCACTGTCGTTCCGCATACAGCACCGCAGCTCTGTCCTATGCTGCCGCACACGACGTAACTCCACAGTCCCCACCACACCAGACGATCGCCTCATGCCGTTTCTCCACACCATCCAGTGAATATGTCTCCTGAAGCTCCACCGTCGTCCACGCCACCCCTTCACTTTTCAGACAGAGTCTTGCTTTGCAGCCCAGGCTGGTCTCAGACGTATGCCAGTTGTATTGCTTCAGCCTCTTGAATTTTGAGGTGACAGGTATGACCCACCACTCTCAGTCTGCACAACCACACCATTGTGTATCACAACCTCACACTATACACCCCACACATCCCACACCATACATTACTTGCTACAACATTCTATACCATACATCCTGTACCACACAACTCTACAGCACACAACCCGCATCACACCCATAACCCACAGTGATATTCCTACTACACATCCCCACCACACTTGTCTGTACCACACGCCCGTACCACAGACCTCACAGCATGGAATACTGTACTATCCTAAACCACACACCACACCACACACCACACCACACACCACACCCCACACATCCACCCCACACATTGTATACCACATGCTGCATACACACCCTGCACACTCCAGTAGTCTATATTACACGTCCTGTACCACACGCCATACCATACACATGACACTGGTCTGTGCCATGTAACCCACACCACACATCCTATACCATGCATACCATCTTAGACGAGTCAACACCATAATCCCCACCACACAGTCTATATCTCACATCTACCCCACATATTCTACCCCACACACCCCGTCACACTCTTCAGCACCACATGTCTCTACCACCCATCCCCACCACACCACACATTCTAAATCCCAAACTCCACACGATACACTCATCCCACACCACACATGTGCACTACAAATCCCACACCACACACTCCATACCACGCTGGTCTATATCACAAATCCCCTACCACACATATTATATAGTACCATCCTATAACACACATCATACCCCATACCAGTCTACACCCATACCCCACACTAGACGTCTCACCACACACCCCTCACCGCATGTCTGTAACATACATCCACACTACACATCTACAACACGTATCCCACACCACACATTCCATGCTACATACCCAACACCACACATCTACAACACACACCCAACAGCACACATTCCACGCCACACAGCCTACTCCACCCATCTCACACCACACAGCCTGCACCGTCCATTCCACACTGCACGTCTAGAACACACACCCCACACCACACATCCTACACCATACATTCCATCCCATCATATGCCGCAGACTCCGCACCACACCATCTTACGCCATATATTCTATACTGCTCGTTCTGGGCCACACTAGTTTATACCCCACGCCCCAACCCACCCTACATGGCATGTTCTGTACCACACACCCCACACCACAACAGAATGTGACTGCCACATCAGTCCATCCTGTCTAGTTCCTCACCTCTAGTTGCCAGAAAGCAAGAGCTATGCACGTGGAAAGTGCCTTAGTTAGTCCACCAAATCTGGATGCCCTCAGGGAACAGCAGAGAGAAGGCAGGTGCTGAACAACTCTCTGTCATTGACAGGCATTGTTTTGTTCCCTTTGTGAGCATGCTATCTCGGTGCTAACGGTGAGAATCACAGGTGACAGAGGGCAACATCAACCATATCTGGGTGTCTTCTGGAATTAAACAGCCGTACCTATTGTAGAAGCAAACTGGGTTGCTTCTGAGTTTGTTATCTGCTGTGACACAGATGCCCTGACAAGGACATCTTGAATGTCCTTCTTGAACCCAGTGCTTGTTTAAGCACTGGTATGTGACTCAGAAGACCAGACTATGTGGTTGTGTCTTAAGCCTGGGAGTAGGAAGGTGGTGGTTGTTCACTGCTGGATGTGTTGGAGAAGTTCCAGTAGGCATGGTGCAGGTAGCCATTGGAGCTATGGTCACTCAGTCTCAGGACCATTGACCATACTGTCCTTGGGTCCCAGCTGAATTGCCCAGCACCTGCACCACAGCTTGTTGACATCTCAGATGGCCCACTTTCTATGTCTGTCAGATTCTCTCACCTGCAAGCTATCAGTTGATAGTAATAAAATCCCCGTAAGTCCATAGGCTCTGGGCCAAGTTATCAGGGAGGCATTTATAGTATGGACTCTTAAATGGGCTGCTGAAGTCTGGCATGGCCCGTGTGCAGATCAGATATCCCCACAGGGCTGCTGGCAACTGCTGCTTAGTCCTGCACATGGAGGCAGGGAGAGCAGAGGGCAGGCACTTCTTGTATAGGGAGTTGAGTGTAGGCAAGGGCCAGGGGCTTGTAAAGAGTGGGGGAAGGTAGGGTTGAGCTAGGCAGCTGATTCTGCCCAGTGAGCCCCATAGGGTGGGCATGGCAGCTACCCATGCCTCCTGAAGCTCCAATCAGTTTACTTATCATCTGCCAAGGGCAGGTTTCCATTTCGCAAACAATTATGAGTCTGAAGATGAAAGCCACAAACCATTCCAACCTAGGGCTGACAGCCATGTTGGGTGTGGCACCTGGGGGCAGCAGGAGAGAGTGTCAGGAACCAAGGGACCCTTGAGCCCGGGCTGCTCTGCTTTGAGAGCTGCTAGTGCCTGGAACAGGTAACCTTGCTGGGGTCAGGGAGAGCATGGACACAAGCGTGGCCTCAGCCAACAATGCTGAAGTGGTGAGGCTTTGGGCATCAGGGATTTCTCTTCTTGGGCATTTGTGAGTGGAGCGAGAAGCAAGAGAGGCAGACAGAATGCTCCTGACCAGGCGGCATGCAGATCTGCACCGAGCATGCATGCCCATGTCTGCGCTATGGACACGTTATCCTGGTGGTCATTGGTATTCTCAGCACGCACCCCAGCCCGAGCTGCCCTGTCAGCTGTCCCTTAGGAGCGTACACAATGCATTATTTACCCGGCTGTCAGCCCTCCTGGAGACCGGTAGGCAGCAACCACAATAAAAGCTTGTGGGAGGCTTCAGAAAAGGGCCCCACCATATCTTGGACACTGTTGCAACTCGCTGACCACACTGTCCTTACCCCTTTCTAGCGAGAGAAACACCCTCCCCACTCCTGGTGTAGGGTAGCTGCCAAAGCCCTTGGGCTTCCTGAGGAACAGGAACAGTAGGAAAGGCCCGGCTGACCTGACTGAGGCCCTCCCGAGTGGGAGAGAACCTTGTCTAGGATTGGACAGGGTTTCCTAGGGATGGACAAGAGCCCCATGGATGGATGCCACTCTGTTGATTAAATGATTCGACATTGCCGTGTGCCTGCAGCTAATTAGTATGAACAGCACCGAGTGAGCCAGCGAGCAGACAGACCCTGGCAGGCAGCCAGAGACCCAGGGCAGCCAGACCCTGCTGCCCTCAGCACCAGCCCCATCGAGTTCTCCCACCCCAGGAATGAACGCATGCTGGACAGTTGTTAACTACCTAACCGCCCCGTCAGTTACTTTCCTGCCCTCCCTTTCTCCACCTGCCGGAGGTGGTAGCACTTGATCTGGCGTGAATGCCGCGTGCCCTGAGCTGCTAGCCCCTTGGGCTGTGTACTTACCATGAGCCCTGCAGAGTAAGAGAGGCAAGAGCACCGGTGGGGTTGCTGGCGTCGACCACTATGTTGCGCCCTTCTCCCCTCTAGCCTCCATGGCCATCAGGAAGATCAAGTCCCAAATAGCAGTCACAGTGGAAGTCCTGGGAAGGCTACCTCAGGGTGTCTGTGACAGGATGACCGAGGAGCTGCAGGCTGACCCACCTGCAAAGACAGTGCATGTTCAGAGTTCGAGGGAGGGCCCGCTCAGCCAGTTACGGCCAGTGCCCAGGTGTGCATACATGCATGCTCAGGGAACACTCAGTCCCTTTCCAAGTTTGCCCCTTTCTGGCTTCTATCAACCTGGCCAGCCTGTTGGAGTCCCTGGCTCAGACTCCATCTGAGGCATCCAGAGAGGTGGTGACAATCAGAGCTTTGGGACTTTGGAGGAAACCTGCCTCCTGGCAGCCAGAAACCATCCCTTGAGTAGTCCCTGCTTACCCTCCCAACATGAGAATGAATACCACTTGGTTATTTCAGGCTGCACAAGCCAGACCAACATTATCAATTTAAATCAAGAGAATCAAATAAACCTGAATAAATCTCTCAGTGCCTGGGCAGACCTGGCAGGCAGAAGCTTCTGTTGCCTGACGTGGCCAGACCTTGAGGGCTGGCGTCTTCCACATGGACATTCTTGCCTGTGCTGGAACTATGTGGTCTTGCTAGGGCTCCAAGCCCCAGACTTAGCCAAAGTTATTCAGAATCCACCTTCCAACAGCAAGAGTGTTCAAACCCCTCACAGCGTTTCTGCCCCAGAAATGGCCCTCATGAGTGGACACTGTGGTGGGCCAGTAGCTTGGCCAGAAGCACCACCCCTCCCCTTCCCTTCCCAGACACCAGGAGGAAGCCACCCAACTTCTCACCTATTTTGGTAAAGGCATCTGGAGAGGCACAGGTCTCAGGCTTCTCATAGGCGAGATATGGCATGTCCCTCGTGTTAGGGAACAGCTTCCTATGATGACAGGCATTCGACTGGAGCTTGTGAGTGGAGTTATCAACAGATTGCAGGGCTGCAGCCTGGCGACTGGCTATGGCCAGAGCACTGCGCTGGGGACGGAGCTCTGCACCCGGAGGGAGTGAGTCAGAGCCGAGAAGAGCAGGCATCCAATGCGCTCTCTGCAGGCAGTTTCCAGCTCTGGGTTGGGGGACGCCAGCCGCCTGCGCGCCTGATTTCTGCAGCAGCAGCCAGGGGAATGAAGGACCGGCCGGGAAGCAGGAGCTGTAACCATGGGGACTGGGGGAGGCGCGGACCGCGGCAGCGCCGTGCCCTGGCTCCCTGCGGCAGAGCGGGAATGGTTCTTCCCAGCCCGGCGGCCCGCTGCCCGTCACACTGCAGAGTCGATTTAAAGAGACAACCGACTAGGGTTTGCTGCTTGCTTCCAACAGATTCAGACAACTCACATTAAAGCATTTCACCCAAAAGGAGGACAGGATGGTGTTATTTCATTTTTAAAAGAGATCCCCGTCTGTCAAGGGCTCCAGGAACAGGAAGGTGGAAACGGAAATTGATTTTGGAAGAATCTCCACAATCCTGGTATTAAAATATTTCTCAAATCCAAATATGCCAAATCTGAGGTGAAGTCTATCTAAGCATGAGTCAGCAGGGATGGTTCTGCCTGTGGACAGGACTGGCTGGGCAGATAGTGTCTTCCCTAATCCCAGTGTTGAGCCCCTTCTCCTAACCTGGACCAAAAGAACTGAGCACAGGGAAGGGAAGTGTACAGAGGAGTGTGTCAGAGGCCAGAGCACGGGGTGTCAGCTGCAGAGGGATGGCCTGGCCCAGGCTAGCTGCCTGTGGGGAGGGCCAGGGTCAGGTCTAGATTTTTCACAAGGTTAATTCCTTTGGGAGTTGTTGGTGTGACACTGTGATTGGGAGACACCTGTTTGGGGTCCACTCCATTTCTTTTCCACCTGATTCAGCCCTGCCCATCTACTCTGCTCTTCCAGGTGCTCTTAAAGCTAGTGCCTATTCCATGGGGTCCCCAGGTCCTTGCTCTCATGGGATTTAAAATGTTGGAAGCTAGATTTCCTGGGGGGAGAGATAGTTAAGAGTCACAAAGGCAGAATTAGACCCAGGGACATTGGAATTCTCGGTTTTGTAAGTCCTGTGGTGTGGGTAAACTCTGGGTGGGATGTGGTCAACCGTCCTCTGTCTCAGAGCTCAGTGGGAACATTGAGATGAACACTGAACTTCTGCCTGCTCGATATCCTGTAAGTCACGGAGACCTCCATGTGTTCTGAACTCTCAGACTGGCTTCTCCAGGGACTGGAGGTCAGCCAAGTTCCCTCCCTGATAGATCCTGGGAGACAGTCGTGGTCAAGTGGGTAGATAAGGGAACAGTTCGGGGTTGGTGTGGTGTCTCTGAACCAGAGTAGACTCTGACACCTGTCTCCTGCTCAAGGGTCCAGGTTCATTACAGGTGACCCAGGGCCTCAGGAGAGGCAGAAGAGCACAGGCTATTCTGTGGCTCTATGCACAACTTGAATGATGTCCCTCAGTCTCTTCCTGGGATGGCCAGGACCAAAAATTTGTTCTTGTACTGTGGTTGGGCTCTAGCTGAAGTTTCCAGAATCAAAGCTCAGGATGTGACTTCATGAATACTGGCACTGGCTTAGTGGTTTCCACCCACTTATAGCTGCCACACATGCCCCTCTGCACTGTGCCAGGGCCTAGGGCTGGAGCTGCTCAAGGAGGGCATCACTTCAGATCTGATCTCTGGGGTCACACTGGAGACAGGTGCCATGATGACCTACATGGTGATCTATGTTCTATATAACACAGAATAGTTTTTCTATGGCAGTGGTTCTCAACCTTCCTAATGCTACAAAACCTTTAATACAGTTCCTCATGTTGTGATCACCCCCAACCACAAAATTATGTCATTTCTACTTCACAACTGTAATTTTGCTACTTTATGAATTGTAATATAAATACTTGTTATTAAGGATACATAATCCCCAAAGGGGTTGTAATCCACAGGGTGAGAACCACTGTTCTATGGGATGGGGAAACTGAGGCATGACATAGTCAGGTATGCTTCTGGTTACCACTCAGCTTGTGCAGCTGTTCTGGGAGTCACCCTGTCCTAATTGCTAGACAGGCCACACTTGCCTCTTACTGGAAGCATATTTGGCAATTGGGCTGCTTTTTGTACGTAAGGAAGCCTGGCAATGCGGCTCAGGCCTCAGGTCTCCTGTCTCTCAACACTTGGAGTAATGTAAATCACCCTGCAGTTAGGAAGCTGCCCCCATGAGGGCCTGGGATATGTTTGCCATGAGCTCGAGTGTCCGTGCCTGCATGACAAAGCCTGATCCCTCCTTTAGACTGCTCCTTTGGGCAGCCCCAGTTGAATGGATTCAATGTTGCTATGGGACACAGCCCAACCTGTGGGCATCATGGGTACAGTCATCTCAGAATACCTTCCGACCTCCCAAACTGGTCAGAAAGGAAGGTACAGGAAAGGGGCAAGGCTGGCTCAAGGGACTGAAATAATGCCCAATCCGAGGCCACTGGGATGCAGGCAACGAGGGCCCTCTCGGAGGACAAGAAAAATCCCTCCATGAAGGAAAGTGCCAATTTCTGCCCCACGGGCGTGGGTCTTCTGCTTACAAGGTTTCTCCCCTTCAAGGAGATCCAGCACGGGATGGGAGTTTCTGCATCTGTGACAGTCACACAGGAAAACAGGATATATATGACTGTCTGGAGTCTCCAGCACATACTGATACTGTTGTCCTTGAGGGTTTCTCTCACGAAGACCTCAGCTGTAGTCTTCAGGCCTGTCCACTGCCAGGCAGGTCACCCTACCTGGTCATCCAGGGCCATCTTCCTCACATTAGTGAACAGCAAGTGACGGTTAGCATCTACAGTGTCTACAAAGTCCCCTCTGTGCAGTATCTCCATGTGATTTGGCTGAGACAGGGCAGCAGCCCCTGTGGACACACAGCATGGACCATTCCATCAGGCTGTCACTTTCATAAAGGGCCAGACAGTGCCTCTCTCAGGTTCCGTGGGCTGGCCCTTCTCACAGCACTCCACTGCTGGTGGAGACAAGTTCTCAGGAAAGGGCTGGCTGGGTGCCAACACTGGAAAAATACACAGTTCTCACGTGTTATTCTTATTTTTTCCAACCTTTTAAAAACTGTGAGAAAGGACATCCTGCTTATGGGTTGTATGCGACAAGCTGTGCCTGTATTGGCTCTGAGTCTATCATGCCAGGAAACGTCCTCAGGACTTGATCGCATCTCCTAGGTTTCAACCATTGCTGGCACGGGGCAGTGCCTAGCTGCTCAGGTGTTTCCTGCTGCAAATGTTACTACAGGCATCCTCTCCAAAAGCAGTGTGAATGGACAACAAGGGTACAGAGGGCTCCAGGGTGCGTGGCCTGCTGAAAGTGAGTCCTGGGTCTCTCCAGCAGATGGAAAGCTCCGGTCCCCTGCTGCCCTCAGGCTCCGCCTCTCTTGAAGAAAGGTCCGTTTTGGGGGGCTGTGAGATCATCCAGCTGGTCTCATGGACTGAGCTGGTGGCTCTGGCCTCCTCTGAAGTGTCAGTGTCTCAGTCAAAGCTTTGAACCTGACTTCTTGATGTAGACGTGGAAGTTGACTCTGGGCAGCTGGGAGTTCTTGTCAAACTCCAGTGGGCTTGTGAGTATTGCCTGGTTGGGGACAGACTCTAGATGGGTCACAGTCCACTCTATGATCAGAAGGAGAAAGGTTAGCTGCCCTGCAGTGGCTAACAGGAAACTCAAACATCCAGAACCCAGGGCCACGGAGTCCAGACTTCTCTGTATTACTTGGATTCAGGAATCTGTAAGCTGTTATCGGGAGAACAGGAAACAACCCGATAAGGAGGATGAGACTGAGTCATGCACCTGGTTGGTGGAAACGAGACTCTCTTCTCTCTCTCAGAGGGGCTGAGGCTACCAAGGACGTAGAGAGGTACATGTAAGAAACGCTTCATCTTAGAATAGGGATGGGCTTGGACGGCTGCTAGTGTCCTGACTAGATGCACCTCTTTTGAGTACTTGAGGCTTCATAGCTGTGAGCTTCCCAGCCATATCGTGGAGACCAAGAAACTGAAATGGGAAACAGGAAGATGTGGAAATGGTGGTCTCTGGAGGATGCATCTTGGTCCTGGAGGGGGTGGGACTGTGGCCCTGGCCTCTCTGTGTGCAGCATCCGGGCTGCAGAGCGGAATTAAAAAGGCTCTTGGGTTGCTGTGGAAACCAGCCATCTCCCCACTCCCCACCCCCCACAGCATCAGCCTGAATCTGTACAGACCATTCCTAACAGATTCAAGCCAACAGACTCATTCTCACCTCTAGGGAAGCTGAGTTTGAGAAGCAAATAATGAAATCACCAACTTAGAGTATGCTGCTGCTGCGTCTTTAACAAAGCACAGTGGACCCTTGAGAGGCCCAGGGCTGGTCCAACCTCCATCACAGCCTCGTGGAGGACAAGGAGATAATGTGTACCTTCTGCTTGGTAACAGATACTTTGGCATTTCACATGAGCTTAGAAGGTGTTCTGGGCAGACACAGGGCCCTGGCTTGTCCAGATTGCAGTGAAGAGAGCACAGGCCTGAGAGCTGTGAAGACTGCAGGTTATGGAGTTATCATCTTGACCTCTGACCCCCAAGTGCCTGGAGCCTCACTGAGCTCCACCTCCTGAGCTCCAAACCCTTCCCCTTTCTTCAGAAGGCCACTCACCTTCCCCGGGGTCCTTAAGTTTGCGGGAGGTTTGGAGAGCTGCTGGTAGAAAGAGGGAGACACTGACAAGGAGAACCTGCTCCATTCTACCAAGATCAGAGGGCTGCACGATATCCTGGGACACACTGAGCTTCTCTCTGATCCTGCTGACTCCATGGTAGATTCCAGTGGAGCTACGTGGCTTCTTTGCCCAACAAGCCCACCCACACTCCAGACAGGGAGCCTAGTAACTGGGCCCAGGAACAGAGGGCTTGGCATGTGTGGAAATCTTGCTTATCCTGCAGGCAGTAGGGAGTCATGGAATGCTGTATCTGAGGGAGAGAGTAAGAGGCAGGCTTGTTCTTAGTTGTTATGGTGATGGGTGATATGATACAACTTTGTGGCTCTCAGCTCCCTCACTTTATCCCCTGAGGCCTCATAAGCTTTAGACACAGCCTTCTGAAATGCTCACTCATGGGACTTGTCTACCATGACCTAGCACACTGCTGACCCATGTCTTCAGCACTGGAGGAGTAGAGAGTAAGGGAGCAAAAGTGACCACACCATGAAGTGAGTCCATAGCATTTTCCATGGTCCATGTATCTCCC